GGTTATATTTGCCAATTTCCCGAACTTTTAAGGGTCCATGGCGAAAACAAAAAAAATTTGGATCCTTTAGTATAAATTTTTTTAGGCCATTTTCCCTATATACCTAAAAAAAATTGGACTCTTTTTCCTTTAAAGAAATTAAAAAGTTTGGCACGAACCCAGGGCGTAGACTCCACTCGCCACTCCTTAGAGCCGGCACTGGCTGATTGGTTATAGAAGAGGTATTACAAATTGTAACACAGTGTTACAACATCCTTACGATGTTACAGTTGAAATATTGTTTAGCAATGCTTTGAAAGGTTTCTAGATTTAACATAAAACTTTTAAGAAATGATTTTTTTCTTTTTTTTTGCTACTCTTATATTTGTTTCATATAGAATCGATTTTGTGAACAACAAACAAAAAGTATTCAAACAATATTGCTTACTCGTACTTACGGAGTTTTTGTTGTTCTCCTACGTTTAACATGCTCTACACGTTTCCTTATCAAAGAAACCACAAATTCTTTTTTTTGGTAAAGAAGAAACCACAAATTCCATGTCTTAGTTTTTTTGTGACAAAAATAAAAAGTCAACTATGAACCTATATATTCTTGAAGTTTGGCTATTTCTTTCTCCAATTTACAATCTTAGTTTTCAATTCTTAAAATTTTGATCAACTTGTAATTTAGAAAACAAAAGTCAATCTTTTATTATTTGCCTATAAGTTATAACGAATATATACAAAGTATAGTTGACAATTTGAGTTTTTAGATGAGCAAGCCATAAACATTTTTTTGGAGAAAGTTCCATCATGAACGAGATCTCTGTTAGCATTACTCAGACTGAAACCATCGTCTCCGATCTCGAAGATGGTAGAACCGGTCATCGTGGTTCCCACTCACCGGTTTCCTCTGGTCCTCTTGTATCCGTATCATTTGCTCAAAAGGTAATGATTTAACTTTATTATTGCGACATGTTTTCCTAAATTTTATTTTGAAATATTGATTAGTCGGATTCAAGATCTTACACTTCTTGTGATATTGTTAATAATCAAATCGAACTAATTAACATCTATTATGAATCCATTTGGAACAGGTATTTCTTAACTTCGGTTTCCTAGATATTATATAAATGGTATAATCAATTTATTTTCTTGAGTTGTTCAATTCATTCTAACTGAACATCTGGATTTTTCGATGTTGCAACACTAAATAGTAATCGGATTTTCTGAGTTTAAGATATGAAATAGTTTCTTAAAAAGTATTGTGATCCATAATATTCCCTATTATATATAACTAAAATCTTATTATTGTATTTATTCTCTAGTTGGTTGGAGAGTTCGTGGGGACATTCACTATGATATTTGCCGGATGCTCGGCCATTGTGGTAAATGAGACGTACGGTAAACCGGTGACACTTCCCGGTATAGCTTTGGTTTGGGGACTAACCGTAACGGTTATGATCTATTCAATTGGTCATGTATCCGGTGCACATTTCAATCCTGCTGTTTCTATTGCCTTTGCCGTTTCTAAAAAGTTCCCTTATAAACAGGTGACAGAAAAATATATAATTCTAAATACCTTCGTATTATCAGTTTTTATTTGTAAAATTACTAGTGTTTTAACTTGATAACATGCCGAATCACTGAATACCGAAATGATTTCTTTGGTATCGTAATTTTTTCCCAATCATATATTTTTGTGTAGATATCAGTTTTCTGTTATTCATTTCATCGATTCTAAAATATAAATAGTTTTTTGAAAAAGTTTAGTGCATTAGGTTTTAAAGGTAACAAACATATGAGAAAAGATAGAAAAAGAACCATATGTATTGTTCTACTTATGAAGCTTGAGAGTTTACCGCGATGACGATGAACATGTGTAATATAGTTAAAATATAAATAGTTAAAACTTAAAACCATTTAGAATATGTTTTTCTACAAGATTGCAATTAAATCAAGTTTGTCAGGATTATTACCGTACCAAACAAAGACATAAATTATACGTGTAATGTAGTTTTGATTGGTCCTTTCATTAGGTACCAGGGTACATAGCCGCTCAAGTTCTGGGATCGACCTTAGCGGCTGCAGCTCTACGACTCGTGTTCCATTTGAACGATAATGTTTGTAGCCTAAAAGGAGATGTTTATGTGGGGACATATCCATCAAACTCCAACACGACGTCATTTATAATGGAATTCATCACTACTTTCAATCTAATGTTTGTTATATCTGCTGTTGCTACCGATAAACGAGCCACCGGCTCATTTGCAGGCATTGCTATCGGTGCGACCGTAGTGCTCGACATCCTATTCTCCGGGTAACATATAAGTCTCTTAGAACAATTTCTACAAAATTATTATAATTATTTTGTTAAAATGTGCGTGAGCAAAAATGTTTTATTTTTATTAACAATTGTTAGGCCAATTTCTGGAGCATCTATGAATCCAGCAAGAAGCTTAGGACCTGCATTTATATGGGGATGTTATAAAGACTTATGGTTATACATAATTTCACCGGTGAGCGGAGCATTACTAGGCGCATGGACGTATGATTTATTACGGTCCACAAACAAATCATATAGTGATATTATTCGTCCAAATTGCAATAAAGTTTCTTTGAAAGATCGCGAGGAGGCTTCTCAAGATGAGATTTGTGTTCTACGAGTGGTTGATCCTGATAACCAGAAATATTTCATATGTTCATCTCCTATTGATATCAACAACAAATGTAATGTCACATGTAAATTTCCGTGAAATATCAACATGTTCACAACATGATAAAGAAGCCTAGTCGTGGGCGTTGGGAAGTTACATCGAAAGATTACTCCAACTTTTTTTGTTTGTTTCCAATGATGCCGCTGGATCAAAGAGAATAGGATTTTTTAGATTTCAAAAGTTCTCCATATAGTTTGAGCATAAAGACAATCGAAGAATATGTGCTTAATTTATTCAATATTCTTACAACATCTACAATATGATGGATCTTTTCTAATGTATCTCCTCACTAGAGATTCCTATGTTGCTAAAGCATTAGACACCATCCTTTACAAAAAAAAAAGGTTTAATTTTAATTTCTAAATATAGATTTTGAGAGATACATTACAAAGTGAAGAAATAGCTCTTTACAAGAAAAAAAAAACATAAATATAGTTGGATAACTTTAGCATAAATCAATGTGATTTTCAGATATTAATGATAATAACATTACAACCCTACAAATAATATATTCTGCAAAACTTTCAGAAAAATATTTCTTCATTGTTATATTTTTTAAACCGTCTGGAGTTTTTATTATCCTCATTTTTATCTAAGTAAAAAGTATATCATTACCAACAAAATAAAATTAAAACTATTTACTAATTTTGTTGATATAATAACAAATAACCAATCTTTTAATTAATAATCATATTAACAAATGTAAAAAAAATAGTAAATAATTAAAAATGTTTATCCAAAAAACCTAACGAGTCAAACTTGATTGACTAAAAAAAAATGTCTGTTAACATTTTTTGTTGTAAGTTCCTATTTTACCCTCATCTCTAATTTGGTAAATCCATAAATATCCTTAACCAACCTCACTTTCTCTCTTTCTTCTTCCCTGTGCACAAGTCCAACACCCGATCTGCCACTGCTAAATCCGCCGGTCATTTGCTGCCGCCGATTGCAAAATTTTCCGATCATATCCGGCGATCTCGTATCGCAGACAGAGATTCCTAGTAAGTATTTTTGTTGTTTACTTATATACTCCGCCGATAAATTTGTTCATATTTACGAAAGTCGCTCGACTTCTAGGTCTTCTCAGTCGATGTACATATGTTTCGGAGTTATATGCGTTGAATCTGTGCATGTGATTTTGATTTTATCTCCTTTTTTATTACAATTTGTTTGATCGTAGGTGATTCTGGGTTTGATCAGCGATCATTTTTGTTACTCTGTGGAAATGGCTGTGTAAGTGCTTCTCCAACAAATTTATTTCGATTTGAATTGGTTTAATACTCGTTTTCGTGTTGGTTATGTTGATTTCATAAGAGAAAGTAAAAGGGATCAACTGATTTGGACATTTTGTGTGTTTTCAAAATTCTTTGATGCAGTGTTGCTTCTGCTCCTGGGAAGGTGTTGATGACTGGAGGCTATCTCATACTTGAGAGGCCAAATACAGGGCTTGTGTTGAGCACAAATGCACGGTTCTATGCGATTGTGAAGCCGATCAATGAAGAAGTCAAGCCTGATAGTTGGGCATGGGTATGTACTGCCCCAGAAGCATGCATTTTCTTCTCATTTGTGTTTTATTGGGAAGCTATATTGTTGCAGCATTGACAAGTTATTCTGTTGTGTGAGACGGCTGATAAAAAATTGTTGGTTTGCTTATTTTCCAGCAATGGACAGATGTCAAATTAACATCACCACAGCTCTCAAGAGAAAGCATGTATAAACTGTCACTCAAACATTTGACTCTTCAGTGTGTGTCTGCAAGGCAAGATCTCAAAGACTTTTCCAGATGCTCCACATCTTTTTCTATATCAATATCATAAGTTTTTTCAGGCGGATCAATACATGTCTGTAGTAGGTTATACTTAGGTTATTCTGCAGAGACTTCAGTTGTTGAGTATAGGTGACAGAGCACTTACATTGTTTTTTTGCTGTAAAAATAATTCAGTGATTCAAGAAACCCCTTTGTAGAGCATGCTATACAGTATGCTATAGCTGCTGCTCATCTGGCAACGGACAAGGGCAAAGAAGCATTGCACAAACTCTTCTTGCAAGGCAATCTTCAAGTCGCTGCTTTTTTAAAAATCATTTTCAGTTTTGAAGTGGAGATTTGATGTGTAACCATTTCTCTAAATTTGTTTTGCAGGTCTTGATATCACAATCTTAGGCTCCAATGACTTTTACTCATATCGAAATCAGGTGTTCTGTCTTTTTCTTTGGTGAAAACTGTTTAAAATAACACTTGCAATTGTTGAATTTTCCTTCGATTATCCGAATTCTTCTTCTTGAGATGCTTGTACAAAATGTTGATAATCTTGTTTATTCTGATAGATAGAATCGCTTGGGCTTCCATTGACACCAGAATCTCTGGGTACCCTTGCCCCTTTTGCATCAATCACATTCAACGCTGACGAGTCAAATGGTGCTAATTGCAAGCCTGAAGTAGCAAAAACTGGCTTAGGTTCTTCTGCAGCAATGACAACAGCTGTGGTTGCAGCCCTTTTACACTATCTTGGAGTGGTTGACCTGTCCGATCCATGTAAAGAAGGAAAGTTTGGTTGTTCTGATCTAGATGTTATCCATATGATAGCACAAACATCTCATTGTCTTGCACAAGGGAAGGTCGGAAGTGGGTTTGATGTCAGCTGTGCTGTCTATGGGAGTCAGCGTTATGTTCGCTTCTCTCCAGAAGTCTTGTCATTTGCTCAGGTTTGTAACGAGAAGTTCATTGTATATATATTCTTCGCTAAGGAATAAGGATGGGAATAATATACTGATTACCAAGTCTCAGGTTGCTGTAACGGGTCTGCCGTTACATGAAGTTATTGGCGGAATTTTGAAGGGAAAATGGGACCATGAGAGAACCGAGTTCTCTTTACCGCCACTGATGAATCTTGTAAGCAAACTATCAGACCCAGAGTCTTATCTGAAAAAAACCTGTTGTGAACCTCACCAATTTATTATTTCCTTGAGTTCGGTGAAACCTGGTGTACTAACAAGATGTTGTCTTATATAGTTCCTTGGAGAACCTGGAAGTGGTGGATCCTCCACACCGTCAATGGTAGGAGCTGTAAAGAAGTGGCAATTGTCTGATCCAGAGAAGGCACAAGAAAATTGGCAAAAGTTGTCAGCTGCAAATTTAGAACTGGAAATTAAGCTAAACGTTCTGAGCAAATTAGCCAAAGAACACTGGGATGTTTATCTCGGAGTCATAAACTCTTGTAGTGTACTTACTTCTGAAAAGGTATTTTGAGTATAGATTTCATTAGATGTTTTACATTTAGGAGCGGCTTGGTTCATTTGCCTCTTCTCATGTTTAGTGGGTGCTACAAGCTACTGAACCAATCAATGAAGCGATTATTAGAGAACTCTTAGGGGCAAGAGAAGCTATGTTGAGGATCAGAACTCTTATGCGTCAGATGGGAGAGGCTGCTAGTGTTCCAGTAAGCTATCTTTTACTATGTATTGATGCTTTCTTCATAACCCATTTGTGCATGATAACTTTGTGCTGATGCGGGACCAAATCGTGCTTTCAAACACATCGACTTGTTTTGCATCTTCATTGACCTTGAGGGACCATGGAATTGCAGATAGAGCCTGAATCCCAAACTCAACTTTTGGATTCTACAATGAATGCTGAAGGGGTTCTACTTGCTGGTGTTCCTGGGGCTGGTGGATTTGATGCCATATTTGCAATTACTTTAGGGGATTCTGGCAGCAAACTGACCCAGGCGTGGAGTTCGCACAATGTTTTGGCCTTGTTGGTGAGAGAAGACCCACACGGCGTTTGCCTAGAGAGTGGTGATCCACGCACCACAGGTATTACTTCAGGCGTTTCATCAGTTCATCTTGAGTAAGCAAAACATTGTTTGGCAATGTTCAATTAATTAGGCGCATCACCAAGTTCGGTTGAGTATACTGTTTTGCATATAGACTTGGGTGCTAAATTTCTTGGTGTAAGCACTTCCACCGTGCATTTTTTCACCCATTGTAAGGTCTTTTACTCTTGGAAAAACTCGCGGGAAAAATAAAATAAGGTTGATCTAGATTGTTCCCACTCGTGTTTGTTTTCGTTCACTGCTTCAGTTATTGGTATCTTCATGCTTGAAAGAGAGTCTGGAACAGGAATATAACCATAATGGATATTGAGGATCCAAATCTACCAATAATCTTTACAGGAGAAAGTTCCGCCTTTAAACAGGTGAAACCTGTTCCTATCTCTTACAACAATCTCTCTTTCATAGATCATGGAGATTTTCTTTGTATATGTGTGACAGTCACTACACATCCTCAGGTTTCTAGCTATTCTAATGATAGACCCTGGAGGTGTATACAATAGTGCAAAGGCAATAGCCACCTTTTGGCTGTGCCCTTTCAGTCTCTCTCTTTTTTCTTCTTCGTCTACGTTTAGCAATATCTGTGTCACATCTGGTGAATATCCTTCGAATTTTAGCTGCCATTCCATCTGGTGTAGCATCTTGTAGATCTCTTTGCATTGTGGGTGAGATCTATCTTGTGAAACGAACCTGTACTTTTTTCCTTCTACCTCGACAACACTATAACCAGGGGTTTGCTTCAAACCCTTGTTAGCCATCTCTGTTCGAGCTCTGGCTACATCTTCCCACATTTGAGCTTGTGCATACATGTTAGATATCACTAAATAGTCACCTGGGTTGTGTGAGCTTCGCTTAAGAAGTTCTCGGGATGCTATTTGGCCTAGTTCGACGTTCTGATGAACTCTGCATGAGCTTAAAAAGCTTCTCCAGACAACATCATTTTGCTCAATTGGCATGCTTCGGATAGTTTCCAAAGCTTCCTCGAGCAGTCCAGCTCTTCCCAGAAGATCTACAAGACAACCATACTGCTCAGCCGTTGGCTCCACCTTCCCTTCCCTTAACATTTCCTCGAAGACTCGACGGCCTTCTTTGACAAGACCAGAGTGGCTACAAGCATTGAGAACACTGACATACACAACATGATCTGATTCTAAACCTTCTTCGATCATCTCAGAGAACATCCGTAAAGCTGCTTCTCCTTCTCCCTGCAACGCAAGTCCTGAGATCATTGCGCTGTAAGTCAGATTATTCCTTGTTTCCATCTTCTTAAAAATATGCAACGCTTTATCTAAGCACCCGCATTTAGCGTACATATCTACTAGTGAAGTTTGGACTGCTATGTTGAGTTTGCTTATGTTTCTCAACAGGTATCCATGGATGCTCGTTCCCAGATTGAGTGCACCGGTGTTGGCACAAGCTGAGAGAGCATTGACCATTCCGCTTTCTTCCGCTTTCAAATTCGTTTCTCTACACATTTCGCGGAATAACATCAAACATTCCCCCCAGATTCCAACTCCTGCACAAGCCGAGACCATTGAGCTCCACGACGCAGCTGTTTTAGATTCAAGTCTCTCAAAAACCGCAGAAGAAAGTGCTATCTCTCCACATCTTCCATACATATTGATCAAGCTATTCTGCACATACACATCATCTTCAAAGCCGAGCTTAAACACATGCCCATGAATCTGCTTCCCTTCTCGAATCGACTTCAACCGAGTGCAAGCCTTGAGAAGACACGGGTACGTAAAATCATCCGGCTCAATCCCATCTTCTATCATCTCAATGTAAACACACAATGCTTCCTCGTAACTCATTTCATTAACATACCCTCTTATCATTGTATTGAAATCAAAGGTACACGGATCATCGATTACTCGAAAAACCGATGCCGCGTAATCCATACCGTTCTCCCATTTCGAGAGAGCGCAGGTTGCGAGAACGCTGCTTGCCGAGAATGAAGAAGAGCAGAACAATCTAAGCTTGATGAATCTAGCATGAACTTGCTTAAACTCCTCCATGTTCTCGCATTTCTTCAAGAGGTATAAACATTCTTGCTCTTTAGCTCTAAAGTTGTTGACTTGTTGGTTATGAGTTGTTAGATCGTCTCTAGAATCCAATAGTGACTGTAGAATTACTGGTGCTTTAATCATCCTCTCCTCGTAACCATTAAGTGTCAGATAGAGACTGTAGAACTGATGAATTTAGGGGTTGTGTCCGAAAATAACTTAGAATCTCTCTATGTGATCATCAAAGAAAGATTTGAAAAGTTCTTTAGAGACGGGTTTTGAATCTGATCCCGTTAGATTTTCCTGGAAAATTATGAGCCACAAGTATGAATTTTTGGGTTTCTGATAAGTTGTGAT